TCAGCTGGATTCCTTCAAAATTTTGCCTAGAAAGCAGTATATCCCCCCTGTCAGAATATACTCTTGAGATATGGGATAAATTATATAAAGACCTAATAGGTAAATATAATACCCCATTGATGCCATTAACTCGCCACTCTTATTTCTTACCGGGGCTACATAATAGCGGATTCTTACATTGGACTATAGATGAAAAGCTGAAACTCTCACAAGTTCATGATGGGAAACATATTCACTCATTACAAAGTCTGCAAGATAAATGGGGGGTATTTCCTTTTGATACATGGAGATATAGACAACTGCACCATTTTGTATCCAAACTCCCAAAACCTATACGCTCTGACGGAGAGCTCTTGTCAATGGAGAAATTGTTCTCTTTGTCAGATTATCCGAGACACGGTATCTCACGATTTTATGCTATTATTCTTGGTCTTAACTCACAAAACTTCCCAGACTATCTAATGAGGTGGGAACAGGAACTTCAAACTAAATGGACAGACTTACGTAAACAACAAATCCTTTGGGCTCACACTGCCTTGTCAATTAGTACGTTAGTGACTGATACAACATTTCGATTTATAGCTAGGTGGTACTACACACCAGATCGGATACATAAGATACATCCATCTAAACTGATAGAATGCTGGCGGGGATGTGGAGAAGCGGGTACTTACCTACATATATGGTGGCACTGCCCTAAACTGAAACCGTACTGGACCCAAGTGGTTAAACATATTAAACAAATTACAAATATAACCATAGCTAATAACCCATCGGCGTGCCTTCTCCATGTAACAGAGATACCAATGTCGAATTATAAAAGAACATTGGTCCCTATATGCCTAAATGCAGCTAAGGCCTTAATTCCCGCGCAATGGAATAAAACCACGGTACCAACTATAACAGAATGGACTCAAAAAATAGAGTATTATAAATTAATGGAAGAATTGACCGCTATTAAATATGGACGACAGGAGAACAATTAATATAAATGGAAACCATGGGTTCTGTTTAAACAAACATTAGACAATATTGAGACATTTTGAATGTACGTATCCTTGGTGCTAAAGGTTATTAATACGCTGTAAATATATAAGTTAACCAAGTAAGAGATGCCTCCTATGTTATTTAATGATTATGTAATTTAATAACCCCCCCTTTTTTTTTATTTAAGTATATTTATTGTTGTACTATTGTAATATGGAATACTTTTTCTTGAAAATAATAAAAATATATAAATAAAAAAAAAAACACAGAGGGCCACAAGTTATGCAAGTCAGTGAGTCCCTGCATCTTCCTAAGCTAAAACATTTTTCACAGCACCTGGAGTTAGACCATGTATCACTCAGTGGACTCTAAAACTCCAACACCATCCCCTGCAGACTCAGACCAGCTTTTACCCGTTGATCTCACTGCTCATGTCAAGAGGCCTTATACATCCTCCTCAGGAAGTCCACTGCACTCTGAATTCTTACATGGGCATCAGACTCGAGAGACATACTCTATGTATGCCATCTGCACACCTTGATTCTGGCCCAACCTCTACCCTCAACTTGAACTCACTTTTGTTTCCATATAAAAGATTTTTTGATAGTGTAAGACAGGCAGACACTTTACGGTAAGGAACTGAAGACTTCAGGAATACAGAACATAAAATCTTAATCAACAGATCAGACACTCACTTTAGAAAAGAAAGCATACATAACTCTGATAGATTCCTCTTTTGCTAGCTAACAACCCACAAGAGTCACTTTAAGCATCCCAAAGTATAGACTATCTAAAAGGGATAATGGAGCCGAACCACAATTTTCCCGTAGGAAGGAACAAACTAGAATTGAGAAATTGCATGACAGGCCTACTAGTTTCTCATCACACAGGTCACCTCTGAAGAATTACTCACCAGCCAGTGACCTTTCTGGTCACTATACAATGTCACTAAACTATGGTGTCAGGAATGAGCACCTCTTGTTAAAACTATGTTAAAAACCATGTTAAATTACGTACGCACCTCTTGTTAAAACTTGACAGGATATTTTTCTCAGTGGGACACGGACAGAAGTTCTAACTATGCACCACTTTATTAAAAAACAAAAATAGGTAAATATATGTTTTATCTTGAATAGGGCTTTTAGTATACAAGTAAAATATCTGTCAGCATGTGCATGCAACTTTTCTTTTCTAGATCTGGATAAAGAAATTGATAATCTGGAGGTTCTAACCTTTGTAGGGGTGTCACCCCTCACTTCATATTCGGTCAAATACCCACCAACACTGCTTAAATCAGGAAATGTACTCATCATTCCAAACCCAAAAAAATATCACAGCAACAATGTTTTTTTTTATTTGTTATAGTTTATCAGTAATCTCATTATTAAATATGAAGCATACAACACAAAACCTAAAAGTGTTGTGGCCTGATGAAACAAGAAATGAATTCTGGATACCTTCAGAACAACATTTTCCAAAAAAAAAAAATTCTTGCAAATGCCTATATTTTAGGTCACATACATTACAAACTACCCTCTCAGATATAGCACAATTACCATTATATGCATGTGTGGCATACACTCAAGAGATCACAATGTACAACACTGTGTAGATGCAGAGGTGCCCTGATGACATGAGCCATATAAAACGTACTTACTCTATTAGTTTCTGTATCATGTAGCACACCATGTGTAAAATAAAATTACAGACCTGCAGTTCAGCAGCGGATATGCGAAGAATTGTCCTGCAGAATTTTAGTCATAGTATGACCCAGTAGTCTTCTCCACGTGGTTCTAATGTTTTATCATTTTTCACACACTTTCATATTCCATTTTCTGGTATGTGATCTATAAAAGGAATATAGACAGACACTTTAAACATTGCGCTACTTTTCTGTTTTTCCCCAAATTACCTAGCCAGCAAACCCAATAATCTACAAAAACGGTTTGATAAGACGCTTGCCCTCAGCTACTGGAAAACTAACTAACTAACTTTCACTACCATTCCTGCTGCAACTTAAAAAACAAAAGAAACAGTAAATGCATATAACCAGATATGTAGGCTTTCTGGTCTTTTTTTTCTTGATGAGTTCTTGAAATTGTTCCCCTCCAGCTGTTGACTAAATACATATAGTAGTTCCTGAACAGCTGATAAGCCGAAAGTTGCTTTGTGAAAAAGAAAAAAATACTGTGCCAGCTTGGTCCTACATGTTCCATATGTTGAGTATACTATTTGGCAAGATTTATGTTTTCTTAAAATTTCTATTTAAAATCTCATATCAAGTTATGAAATCCAAGTAGGATTCCAATAAACACCTCTGGGAATGTTACGAGGTGTATTCTGGCCACAGAAGAGCCACATTTGGTTTCTCCCTTTAACAGATGGAGGAGTGAACTTTTTGAACTCTGCAATTAAGTGTAGGATTGTTCTACTCAAGCGCGGGTAAACATAATTGCTATGTAAGCAAGTTTGGAAATTACTGTTCCTAAAAATACCCTTTCACTTTTAAGTCTGCTGTCATTCTTGTTTTTTTTTTGCAACAGCCAAATAAACAAAGTCCAAATTCCATCCTGAACTCTTTTTCTAGTTTTGGATTTACTGACAAAGGTTTAGAACGCCTGTGAGGTTTTCACTGATCTTCTTTGTCGCTAAAGATTATTAGGAAAAGTTTTGTAACCCCTGTGAGGTGGTCACTCGTATCTTTGTTGCCACTGGGGAGAGATGGCACATTGGTTGAGAGGGTGTCCATAGGACAGGATGTTAAGAAAATCACCATCACTGTCATAGGTGTCAAAAAACAGAAGTTGCAACAGCTCCATTTTTTTTGTGTGTGTGATTTATGCTTTTAGGTGCATCATTTAGAAGAAAGTTATTTTTCCCATAAGCAACTGAGACAGTTTGTAGTCAAGAATATCTCAGAATATTTATGTGCTGTACTTGAAATGACTCACTGCTAGTTTTTGTGTTCTATGGAGGAGATCTCCAGTTAAGATAAAATTGCAAGTAACCTTAAATGATGTCAGGTGTGTGCTGCAGTGGTACCTGCATTAAATGGTATAAATCAGCTTCCCAATGGCAAAGAACTAGTTTCTCAAAAGGCATTTTGTAAATGGGGGTGTGTTCAAAGTTGGATAGAACAGAATTACTTTCTTTGGTTCACTGTAGATTAAAGTGCAGAAACGTATGATACAGCATAAAACAGGTATACAACTGTATAGTACAGTCGAGAATCTTGTCCCATCTAAAGAACAGAACCTAGTGTTCAAGTCCCTCTTTAAAATAAAACCTACGACCAAGCCACGGAAACACCAAAAATCATTACCTGATAATAATGACTGAAGATAAGCCCCCTGAAAATAGTATTGTATTTCTCAAAAACCTTTTTTTGGGAACATTACACAGAGCTGTTAGAGTGCCATGGGCCCCAACATCTTGGATTCATCCAGGAGAACCGGGGTGGATTATAAAATGTCAATTTCTGCGTGGTCACCCTAGATCTCATGTCTGCTCTTCTACCAAGTGCCTCTTGAAGTAATGTAATCTCTCTGACGCACTTGGGAGTGGACTTGAAGGTTGGGACACTATGTCCAGTACACACACAACCAAAGCAGACCAGCATACTTCCATAACAGCTTCTGGTTACACTGTACTGCCCGTCAGGGAGGCTGCTCAAGATTAGAAGCAGCCCGAGGTGGAATTGTTGCAGTGTCCCAGATGGGAGGGGGATTAAGAAGGGCAAGCAGGCAACCAGAACAACTTGAATACAAGTCAGGCAGACACTTAAACGTAACTTAAAAAGCATTCTGGCTGTGAAATTCCAGACTAATATCTGGAAATTCTGGGTCAGGGGCAGCATCTTTGAGAGGCACTTTTACTTAAGCACAAAGTAATTAGTTTGATATTCATAGCCCAGCCAATGTTTTGCTTTAAGCTAAAAAAAAAATTCTGTTGCTATTTTTGAAGACCACTGTGTAATGCAAATCTTCACAAAGGTACTTTTTATCATTCTTCAGGAACTCCGTGACAGGAGAGCACTACATCGCCAAAAGAGAGACTGGATTATTGATACCTTCACCCTTCAAGAAGAGCTGCCTGGTCCTTATCCAATGCTAATTGGCACGGTGAGCCTTCGTGTACTTTGCAATGTTTATTAGTCTAAGTGGTTATACCACAAGATACTACCACTGTACTTTTAGACAATTACTTTAAAAGGCATTGAATGGAACAATGACTAGGTACAAAAGTGCACTACCCCAATTAAATCCATTTACAGTTATTACCCACTGTTGGTGTTTTCATTGATTAGAGTAGACTTGCCTAGTGCAATACAAAAGCACCTTGACTAAGCATATGGCTTCCACATTTTTGTATGTCAACAGAAATTGGTTTTCAAACTAGAAACAGACAGGTCCTCTTGATAAGTAGGGCTGAGCACTGGGGAATGTTGTGAATGTTATGCTTGCTTAGTGAGTTACCCTTCAGTAGCTCATGTTAGTTTTAAAATGTGCATGCTAGTTTTTAAGTAAACGTGGAATTATGCAAATATGTAAAAATATGTAAAATAAGCTTTTTATTTTAATTGACAGAGCCCCTGTAAAGTTTTTGTCCATCCAAAAGCCACATTTCAGTTATAGGTGCAAGCTGTGGTTTCCTGTACATCTTGGGGAAAACCAAAAGAGATCACAATGGCTTTGTACCATCCACTTTTTTCGCAGGGTACAGGAAAGGTGACCAGGAATGGAGCAGCGCTGGGAAGAGGTGGCTGAGAAGAGAGCAGGCTGCTGGAGAGGCGGTGGGAGACAGAGCAGTGATGGTGACACGTGGCTTGAAACTAACCAATGTTGGGGGATTGATGGCAGTTGAATGGAGAAGGCTGTGGGAGAGGTGGCGGGGAACAGAGCAGGCATGGGGAGGGGTAGCTGGTAATGGAACATATTAAAAGGAGAACTATGTGGTGAGTGATTTTCACTCAACCTCATAGTTGGAGCCAACGTGTGACAATTAAACTGTCACACATCGGCTCAATAGATCGGGAAGTGAGCTAATACATATCGTTGCTCGCTCACTTCTCGATCATGTCCCTGCAGAGAGCCGTGACTGTCACTCACTTCTCCCTACAGGGATTCCCCCCTCCCCGCTCCGATCCTCCAGTGTTGATAGGCGGAACGGACAGAGGAGTGGGCGGGTACAGCTGGCTCTGCCTCTAGATAGGCAGAGCCAGCTGTCAATCACGCAGCTGGGTGGATCTCGGCAGTAATGTCGGGATCCGTGCCGGCTGCAGCGGTCTCAGTATACTGCGAGCTGTAGCTCGCGATATACTGAGCTTTGGGTCACGGGGAGATGCTAGTTTATGTCCTCCCGTGACCCTTAGGAGAACTATGGGGAAAAACACTTACCCCATAGTTCTCCTTTAAGGGAGAGGTGAATAGGGATAGAAAATAGCGACATGAGGTAACAGTAAGGGGCAGGAAGGAGGGCTGGGTAAGCAAACACTGCAAAGTCCTGATTTATCAGCGCTCCTTTATAAATTAGCGGGCAAATTGTTCCCACTTATTCAGAAACACTCACAACTACTCCTCTATAAATATATGGTCAGAACCTGATTGCACAAAATAACATGGACCGATCACAGTGCGCTGTACACTAAGCATTGGCAGGCCGCATTTGGCCTACAAGAATTGTGTTTGGCGCAAGTCCCGTATAGGTATCAGACACTGTTAGGTGATAAACCTCTCAGCATCATGGAAAACATGTCAGTTCTAGGTGAACTGGCTTTTTCAAGGAACCCTGTTGTCAGCCTATTCATTTCACAAACAACCTTCCTGTAAGATGTGATGTCTGAACATATTTGAGGCATATTATTTACCTGTAACAGCCACCCTTGTGTCCAAAAGCCAAAAGGCCTAAGACTGCTGCTGGGCACCGCAATATTGAGTGTGAGGATAGTAGCCTCTAGTGGCACTGTCTGGAATTTCCCTTCACTTCCCCCCAAAATGTTACATAAAAAGTTATCTGAGGTGAAAGAAGGGGCAGAGGAGCTGGGCCAGTACAGAAAGTAAATAGACACTCCCAGGAGAGGTGATGGCTATGACATGGCAGGAGTAAGGTGGCTGGGCTAGAGATATTCTCTAGCAAGTTCAGAGGCACGTTACAAGTTCATTAATAATATATAATTTGAAGTAAAAAAAAATACTGCAAATGACCATTTAAAATACTTGTTTTTCTGTGCTTTTACCTGCAATTGTTCAAGTTGGTGACATGGTCTCATCAATGTTTAAGCAATCAGAAGGGATTAAGTTTTTGGTATGATTCATGAACAACTAAGCCATTACAGGCCTGTGTGTGCAACATAACTCTCCCTTGGTGCCTGTCCTGTCTCAGACAAACAATAGGCTTTTAAATAATACATCCCAATAAAGCAAACAGTCTTTTCTGCAAAAGAAACTGGAGTTGTCCTTGTAAATTCTTGTTCCTGGAAATGTCTAAAATTATACCACCCTGGTAAGGGGAGGCACATTGTGCAGCTTCTGACCTGATGAACTGGTAAAGGGGCTTTTGTACTATTAAAAAGCATGGGAATTGTAAAAATTCCACCCCCCCCCACACACACACACACTGCCAATAAAGTAAATATATAGAACTATAAAAAACACTCCCCCTTATTCAGCACTGTGCAAAGGTAGCTTTGGTCATACTTTTTAAACATCATCAAAGTCACTGCATATATCATACACCTGGTCTTGCTGTTGATCATGATACGGTAGTTGTTCGAAGATGATGTAACAACTACGGGTCTATTGTTAATAGCTCGCACAGCGAACAGCTCTATGAATAAGAGTCAACATGCATCATTGCCCCTACATGAAGCCGAGCAGCTCCATCTAGTGGCCACATATTTAGTCAATGACACTACAGGTATATACCCTGTTTCCCCAAAAGTAAGACCTACCCCGAAAATAAGACCTAGTACTATTTTTGGGAATTGCTAAAACATAAGACCTACCCCGAAAATAAGACCTAGTTGTGACCATTCCCAGGGCCGGTGGTCGCATAAGGGGGAACTTGAAGAGCCGCGGGAGAGAATCAGCGGTGCCAACGAAGCCAGCGCTAGAGGAAGCGAGGCGGGCAACGTAGGGAGCAGAGCCGCATAAGCCGATGCTTCCTCTATAGCGCATGCTCTTGTCACAGGCGGAGTGATACCAGATGCACTCCGCCTGTGAGGAATCGATAGTGAAAGTGCGCTTCACTCATTCTGGCCAGCGATTGCCTTGATCACCATATTTTTGTACATGAATAAGTGTGGATTGTTGTACATTAAAAAAAGAAAAATAAGACCTACCCCAAAAATAAGACCTAGTGTGTTTTTTTGAGCCCAAAAAAATATAAGACAGTGTCTTATTTACGGGGAAACACGGTAGCAGCTTACCAAATTTCTGGCAGGTTAAGCAGGTATTTTATGACCTTACTGTACATATATAAATACATTATTTTCAATGACATGTTTAAAAATTAAGTAAAAGAAAAGTTTATTGCTAGGGTTTGCATACACTTTAAGCTCCAGTGACAAGCAATGCATCACACACTGCCATCCCCTATAATCTAGAAACAATATCCCTGACAAAAGGTTAAAATCTAAATGCTGAAGACCGCAATGCTTTTTGGCATTAATTAGGGCTCAGTGGGATTTTCCCATAATAAAACTTGTTCCAAAGATGCACTGCTGGAGATTCCCACACTCAGATAACCGCACTTGACCCATTTAAACAGGAATAAAACGTTAACAAACAACAAAATGACATACATGCTTTGGTGACCTAAAATACCGTCATGTGCACAATTAACCTGACTGCATCCAAGAGTCATGGCACATGGCTACTCGAGTACTGGAGCTGAAGAAACATATACCTACAATTAACAGATGGTATGATGGATATTCTTATTCTGTACATTAGCTGACACACCTCAAAACAGCCCACAGCTATGCAGAGAACACCTGCTGCCTGTTGTAAATCATCTTTCATGCGTTTTCACTTGATCTTAAATATAAAGGAAACTCGACGCATGCAAAATTTTACTACCTTGTTACAAATATCTTAAGTCTGAAGGGCTAATTCCACTCCTCTTCCTCTCTCTCCTCCACTTTATGCTGTTAAAAATGTTGATTGCGGCTTTTGTGTCTGTGCATATTTTTACGGATGATTTACTCCAGTTATGTTAGCAAAGAACAGTAGCTAAAAAAAAAAACCAAACCTTTTTTTGCAATGACATACAATACAATATACAGAAGTAAGAATGCGAGAATCTTAGATGAGACTTTGTATATAAGAATTTGTAGACCCAAGTTGGAAGACCTTACAAGCATGTCATTAGAATCTTATTAGCTACGTTGGAATTAAGCAATTTCTGTAACTATGAGCTGGTGTGAATGTAATAATGCTCGATTGATAGGACCTTCTGTATCCCCCCAGTGATAATGCTATAAACTGACCCAGTGCTCTCCGCCACACCAGTAACAGTTAAATGGATATTTTGGAACACAAATGAACACTGTAAAGGGAAATTTGGGTTAAAAACAAAACAAAACAATTTTCAACCCCTGCCACAAGCATCTTGGCCAGGCAAAAGGCAAGGCAAAGCAAAATAAAAGAATTATTATTAGAAAATTAGAGAATATCAGGCTCTAAGACACTGGCCAGTGAAGATTTAGCTATAGTTTTAGTGGAGTGCTCTCTCTCTCAATAGAACTCTCTCTCTACTGCAGCATAGGCTTGGTAAAACAGCATCTAACTAACATACAGACCAATAATGCTGACCAATAGGCCCCTCATCACACTGGCCCATTTGGTGCAGCCAATTCTTCATCATACAATCCTGCAGACAGGATGGACATGGATATAAGCTAGGCCACAGTACCACTCCGACTTGATGGGGTAAGGCAAACAGCAGCCTGCAAGGTTCTGAGCTTCCCTCTCACTTCTGCATCCCCCTTGGGGGATCTGTGGACTCTCTCTTTGGGAAGCACAGCATAGGCTCAGTCCTCTATTCTCGTGGCTCCGCCCTATGTTTCCCTGCCACTTTAGCTCTCTCTGCAGTCAATCTCTAGACATTGCAGCAGCCCCATGGCACTGCAACTTAATTCAATGCACACAGCAGTTCTGCACACAGCCCTCCCCTGCAGCCCTCTGTCCCCCATACACTTTTTATGGCCAATAAATTGCATATAAGGCTTCAAAATGGGGACATTTAAATTTCCGAGTTCTACCCCCATAGACTTGCATTGAGTTCTAAGTTCGAGTTAGAACTTTTTCCATGTTCGAAAGTTCGAGTTAGAACCGAACACGGGGGTGTTCGGCTCATCACTACTCTCCATCTGCCCGGTCTCTCCCTGGGATCTGTACCTAACAAACAGGGGGTGCACAGCCTCTCCCACCTCCTGACCTCTGTTCACTCCATTGGTCCAGTGGGACAGATTTACAATCCAAACCACCAGGCAGCCACCGGGATCTTTTCTCCCCTTTGCTAAGGACAGGCCATCTTCCTTAGCTGCATCATGTAGGATTTAAATGCAAACGGTAAAAAAAAAAAAAAAACCCACCAAAAAACAGTTGCTTAAACCCACATACATGGTGCACCTAAAAATGTAAACAACTTTTCTGGGTGCTAAAAATGTATAGCTAAAAAGCACTCCAGGCCCAAACTCTAAGGGCCCATTTAAACTTAAGTGTTCTGTTGCAGTGTGTTATGGCTCGCGTTAATGTGTGCTGCGTTATGGCAGCCCATCCATTATGAATGGGCTGGCAGCGCATCACGAGTAATGAAAACAATTGCATGATCTTTTTTTTTTTAACACAGCACAAAACAATGCATTGTGTATGCATTTTGGTGTGTTGGGCTCTACTCTATATAGCGTTGGTGGTGCCATTCGCAATGAAGCAGGTGTGTTGTCATCCAGTGTGGTAATGCACGATATAGCATGGGTCCTAAAGACGCTGACAAAATATTACTGAACACTTAAGAAAGGTTAATGGTTGCAATAAAGAGGAGTATAATATTTGGTGAAGCAATGTTCTACCTCTGTCTCAAATCACATTAAGTAATGACATCATGATTGTAATCTTGCTTGACTTGGATTTTGGTTAATGGGCCCTGCTGCCCCCAGGCTGTACTGGAGAGTCACATATGTCTTGTGGGCAGGCTTGGCAAGTGCAGAATAATTAAGGTATTTTATTTCTGCCTTTTCTTAAATCTCTTGACTGGTATCTGGCAGGTGAAGCTGGAGGAAGGGTTTTCGCTGCAGTACAAGCTGCAGGGGAAAGGAGTAGACGAGGATCCCAAAGGAATGTTCCATATTAACGAAGACACTGGAGCAATTTACGCTCATCAGAAAATTGACTTTGAAACCACCCCTCTGTTTCAGGTGAGCGAATCCTATTAAGAACGCATGGAAAAGGATAAAACATTGTAGTTTTCATATTTTTTATGGTTTTCATTTGGTTTGCGTGATGAAGAGTTTTCCCTACGTGTCCTGTCTCAGTGACAAAGCTTTAACAGGGTTTGCAACCTCTTCCCTCTCTACAAAAAAAAGTGTTCTCTATGTGTCCCCATCAGAGAGTTTTCCCTTCACTTCCTGTCCTGATATAGGAATTATGAGCAAATCTACTCAACATGCATAAAGGCAGCAATGAAGTTCTAACCCTTCTCAACTCCATTAAAAATGAAGAGCAACACTTTGACTGGAAGTTCACTTCGTAGAAAACGGACAATTCAAAGATGGTCCTGTATTTATGCATAACAAAAGAGACTATGTACACTGTAGACAACAGTTGGCCCTATTAGGTAAATGGTAAGAGATCATCCACAGAATGACCATTTAAAAGGTTGCTTTACAGCAACCAGATTCTTCCTTTCATTTTCCCATGCAAGGAAAAATCTCTCTGACTACTGGGGCACAGTGTAGACCATCAGGTAGTTGTACCTTCAGGCACAATAAATGCAAACAGCTACCTGAACTATCTCTTGGCTGGTAGGTCCATAACTGCACACACCCCAATTGGCAGAGCATGCTTATTTATGCTATGGAGAATGACCGGATGAAAACATTATGGGACCTTTATCTTGTGTTATAAAAAGGCTCAAGAGGAGGATTGGGTAAAACCACGGGTGAAGAATACTTTTTAGCACCATGCACAGAAGCTTCTACCAGCGCTTTGTTTTCTGCTGTGCTCAGTACTTTTTTTTTGCTTTACATGAGGAAAATATTGCACAAATTTTAGCACCCCAATTAAAAACAATCACCTTTCTAACAGATAATTACTCGCAACTTTCCATCTGGTGTAGTCTCTGTTCTCGACAGCTGCCATGTTATACCTCGCCACTGCTACTGCCTTTGACAAGCTTGCTTAAAACTGTGCTGCCTGCGAAAGTTTTCTGCAACTTTTCCTTCTTTTACGTTTATGCAGTGGAAGTTCAACGCCATCAACAAAACTTCCAGAGAAGTGGGTACAAGACTCGGTATTCATCTGAAGATCCTGGACATCAATGATAATTCCCCAGAGTTCAAAAACAAGACTTTTTACGTCTCTGTTAATGAAAGCGCTGTGCAAGGTACAGTATGGAGAGAAGACTCAATGTACCATCTGCTCGCTGCTGTCGGGTCAGCTCATTTGCTCTCCTCGGCTTGCTGCTAATTGCACAGCTAGGCACAAATTGCTATCTGATGTAATGGTAATAAACTGTGCCTGTCAGGACTATACATCAGCTTATTTGCTCTTGGAAAAAAAAAAAAAGTTCTTTATGTTTTCCTAATAGCAGTGAGTAAACAAACACCTCAATTTCACTGCCTAGATATTAAAAGAAAACCCCATTTTTTTTAACTTTAAGGGGCTTAATTATTAAATATCAGTTTCAATTTTTTTCAGGTTTCTGGTAGATAAATTGAATGCTAACGTGAATGTCAATGCGGCATATTAATGGTCAGTTCAGTAGAAAGTTACAGTAGAAAGACAGAAGGAAAGTAGAAAATCCTGGAGTTAAAAAAATAAATAAATATCAGATATAAAAATGAACTATAAAGTCTCCTAGTAGCATGTTTAAAGAGACAGTCAATGCTCCTATAAAGATCTCTGTTTAACATTCCTAAACTAGAACAGTTCTTTGAAGGCTTCAACCAAGCGGTTTGAAGCTTGCTAAAAGTTTACTGTACACACTGCTCTTGTAGAACCGGATGCCCATGTGAACAAGGCCTTGGTGTATGATATATCAAAGATGCTGGCTGCAGAGCAATAATGTAAAAGAAATGGTGAATATTAAAAAGGGACTGTCTATCATTTGGTAGGACTGTCCCTCATTTGCAACCAAATCCCTCTGGCCTGCCTTCTTCCTCAGTTGTCCCTATTTTTGGTCGAATGCACAGATATCCCCCACCACATGTCCTGTAACATTTATCACAAAATATCCAGTCACACTTGTGAACGCACATACACATAATATGCGGTACAACAACATTTGCACAAAAAAACAAGTTTAGTAACTCCCCTGCATAGCTCTGAAGGATATCCTT